AACAGAAACATCCCGGTGTTATCAGCACTGTTTCCAGCACAGATCTGAACCACAGCCCCACACCGGCTCCTGGGAAGAAAATTAACCCTATCCCAGCCCAAACCAGCACAAACCCTCACCTTCATTCTCATGCCCATAGCCTGAAAGTAGACAGGGATACAAAAAGACTTCCAGGGAAAGTGCGTTTCATTCATGTCACAATAACTGTATATTATATTCATCGATAACAGGTACTGCTTCTTACCTCCTTCACCCAGCTCAGCACCTTATGCTTCAGTTTTCTTTTGCGAGAGAACCTTTTCCTGACAGTGTTTATTCTTCTATTATGGCTGTGAAAGATTTGTTGAACATCTCTTGAACAAACACTCTTGGAAATCTCGGTGAAAAATACTTGCTGAGTACAGATGTTTCAGTGTTGATAAATCATGTAGAAGAATTAATTTACCTGTTGTGTGTGTGAAATATCTCTTGGTAGTGAGTGCACGTATTTTCCACTTTAGGTGGTTCAGAAACTGACCCAGATGATTGGGAAGAACGTGAAGCTCTACGATATGGTGTTACAGTTTCTGAGGACCTTGTTCCTTCGGACAAGGAATGTTCATTACTGCACGCTACGGGCAGAGCTCCTGATGTCGCTGCATGACCTGGAAATCAGTGAAATCTGCACCGTTGACCCCTGTCATAAGGTATTGATCACAGGGGACAGATAGGAGTGTTCCTGGGGATTTTTCTGTTTCGCCCCCTCCTGTGCGTGCCTGCTGCCCTGCAGGACTTCAGCCCAGAGAAGATGATTCCTCTCTGTGAAGAGAGTTCAGACCTTGAATCCAAAAGTCATCTTATATTCCTTGGAACTTCAGGTGAAATTTTCATCTTAGTTAACCAGCAGCTTGTTTTCATTTCACAACCCATAAATCATTCAGATTTATGGTACTTGTGCAGTGTTACAAACAGTGTCTGATCTGACGTGTGTAGATTCTGCAAAAAATAATAAAAACCGTTAGCTAGCTCCAGGTTCTTCACCAGCCCCTGCTTCCCTTCCTGTTGGGCCTGGTGTGATATTCTCCAGCTGTCAGTGAACTGTGTGTAACGTTAAATACTTTGGTTCTGAATGATAAGATAAATGATAAATAATGTTAAAATACTGGGGGGTGACAGGTGAGTTAATGTCACACCAGGATCTTGCTGCTGCTCTGTGGTTAGCATCACTGATCTAGAACAAGGCTTTTTCTCTTAACTAATGTTGCAAAGATTTATGTCCATTCTGCTCATAGAGACTATGTCCTGGGGTGCTCGTAAATGTTACTGCATGCTTAACGTTTTCTGATCTAGAGCCCCAAAATCAGTATACAAACAGTGACTGAACAGAAAAGGGCAATTCCTGTTCGAGTTACAGCTCATTTTCAGCAGCCTCGTTTTGCTGCTGCCAGATGCAGTGGCAAGGACTGTAAGCCATGACGAGAGCATTTCAGAAAATTCAGCAAGTTGTTCTTTTATGGTAGCTGAAATATTTGGGAAAATAGGTGTTGTTTTCTGAAAGGGGGAAAACCTACCTCTTAATTTTGGTTCAAGTAAAGCGTTTCACTTAACCGTCTCTCTCCATTTTGAGAACATGGCTCTAGAGCAGAGGCACCTCCACTGTTAACATCCCCGGCTGAGCGGGTGGGAGTGGTGTCGCAGTGGCTAAAATGCCCTGTGTTATTACTGCTTAGTCGTGCTGTGGCGTTCTCAGCCTCCTCTGTATGTAAATCCACACTGATCAGGTGTGCTGATCAATTAATTTTAATTGCTGCTCCTTAATTGCCAGGGAATGCCTTTCTTGGGAGGGGAGAAAGTGATATCAGGTTAACTTAAATTAGTATTTTTGACCTCCTTTTTGGGATGTTTGTCTTTCTGACCTCCTCTGTATTGGTGACCAGCTTGGTACTGTACCAAAGTACGTTAATAAAAGCGCATTGATTGCAGATATTTGGAGGTCACTCTGAGCCTGTTTTCTCTGGCAGCCTGTGTCTTATTGCTGGTGTAACAAGTTGCTGTGGTTCATCGAGCTGTCTCTTTTTCTAACAGTTCACCTGGTGCCTTGATGCTTGTATTCGGGAGAAGTTTGTGGACAACAAGAGAGCTCGGGAGTTGCAAGGGTTTCTGGATGGGGTGAAGAAGGGACAAGAACAAGTGTTGGGGTAAGGCACGCGGGCTGTTGATTGAGAAAATGAAAATGGGTTCCTGGCAGTCACAACATCTGATGGGTACTGTAGGTGTTAGCTGATCCCTGGAGCCAGCTGACAAATCCAGTGCATCCATGAGCAGTAATGCACTGGGCTGTAGCCAAGCACGTTCTGGTGACACAGCTTGTACTGCTTCATTTAGCGCTCTTGAGCCTCCCTGTGGCCTGGTCACTGAGAGATCTCCTGTGTGATTTCAGTGCAGAAGACCTTTAGGAATTGTTTTCAGGTAACGTGCTCTTCCGGTTCAACGGAATAACAGTCACCGTGTTTCACAGGGCAGGAGAAGGTTCATCAGGTTACGCTTGTCCGTAACAAGGACAAATTCGGGTGTTATGTTATCATAGTAAGGGTATTGTTACAGTACTTGCACTATGTCTGCCTCTCTTCTTAAACACACACCCGCTGCCGAGTTCATAAAGACATAGTGTACGCACTCACTCTTTGGTGTTACATCGATAGCTGACAAGATTACAAGGAATAGGCTCAAACATCTTATCCTAGTGAAACATGTCTTCTCAAGAAGCTGGTGTCCTGCAGCTGGATATGGAATGGTACGGTAGGGCTGTTTGCTGTGTGTGACCTGTATTTGATTTTTACTTCTCCTCAGGGACTTATCAATGATCTTGTGTGACCCTTTTGCCATTAACACCTTAGCCTTGAGTACCATAAGGCACCTCCAGGACCTGGTTGGGCAGGACACCTTACCCAGGGTGAGTGATGCAGCTTGTGTACCTGATCGGAGCTGTAGTCTTAAGCGAACAGCAGTCATCAACAGCAGGCTGACACTGTAGAATAAGTACAATTGAGTTCTCAAATGCACTTGTAAATTGAGATAAGGGGAAATGTGATCCTGCCTATCCATTTGTAGCACATACCTTAGAGCTCTGCAGGAGCACTGTTTGCAGATGGGCATTTTGGAGCTCTTCAGGTTGACAACCAATTCTTCACGTGCCTCATTCTGTCCTAACAGCTATGCATCTATTGAATTATATACAGAATATGTGCCTCCCTGCTTTGTCCTTCCATTGGTTTGCCTACAGCCTTGTTTCCCGGCCACGGTAACTGCAATGGATTAGTTCACACTGTTGGGGTCTGTTGGCTGCGATACAATACAGTTCCTGCAAGTAGCATCTGCTGGAGGTGCTGGAATGCTAAGGCAGGGTAGGCTTACCGTCTGAACAGCGGGAGGCAGTTGCTGGTTTTATGCCTGAGTTGTAACATTTCATTGTTTGATGAATAACTTCCTCATGAGAGTCTGAGACTGAAAATTGTTTTGGTTTCAGGGCACAACATGAACGAAAAACCATTGTCATTCTTAAACATGCTTTCACTTTCTTCTGCTGAGGTGACTTGATTGGTCCTGTCGCGTGTTATGTGTCAGTATACCAATTTGGGTGGACATGTTTCAAAACAGTGCCGCAATCAGGCCTGCTGCATACTTCTTGGGGCATTATAGAATGTTACAAAAACCCACAAGCCCTCAGCTGCGCCTGTTACTTGATTCCCGTTTGAGGAATCAGTTCTCAGTTAAATTGGAGAACTGAATGCCTCTAGTTGTCTTTGATAAAGCTGCTAGTCCAGGCGAGCTTTGGATGTAAACCACTACTTCCAAATGAATATCCGTATGTGCAACTTGTGGAAGATCAAGATAGCTGTTTTTCTCTTCCCCTTAAAATTCGAGGAAAGCCCGGATCTGCTGCTGCTCCTTAGGATGCTGTCTTTGGGACAGGGAGCCTGGGACATGATTGACAGTCAGGTCTTCAAGGAACCAAAACTGGTGAGCCATTCTGATGTTTAGAATTCCACACATTTAATTAAAACAAATTTAGGCTTGTTTGTTATTTTATTATGTCCCTGGTGTAACGTTCACTCTGCTTACCCCATATCATACCTTTCTTAGAAACACGTGTAGGTGGTCACAGAGCAGCAGCTCCTGGACCTGTGAGCACCATTTACCTACCTTGTTTTATTTGCACAAATGCTTGGCCCTTACCATTTTAAAATCAAACTGTACCTCTGTTAAATTCTGCACTGGTTACTCGTTGTTCCTGGGAGCTTCTGCCCAACTTAGGAGTTGGTTGAAAAGATCTTGTCTGAGGAAAGCAGGATTTCAGAGGCTGGTCTGAAACTCTGGTAGCAGTGTAGCAAGTCGTTTTTTCCTTCCAGGTATCTGTTGTAGCAACTTCCGATAGAGCTGCATTCAGCTACAGTCTTTCCAGGCTGTGGACATACTTTGCCCAGTAGTAGGGGCAGCACTAGTGTAGTCTGGGAGCGGGTACGTTCAGCTGACAGCAGGAAGGCTGGCCGTGGTGGTGTATAGTGGGACTGTTTCTCAGGAGAAGTTTGCTGTTTCTGTTCTGAGCTGTAAAGCAGCAAGTGTCTACCAAGGGGGACATTCAGAGTCTCCAAAATATCTGTTACTGCACGTTTAAATTTAACACAGGAAGGGTGTGCATTAATACTCAGATTGTAACGGTGAGGGTGACCACAACTCCAGGAGTAGCACTGTCGTTGGACCTGCAGAGGTGCTGTCATGGACTCTTGGGAACTGTGAACATTGTTCCTGAAGGGAATCTCCAAATCTGTCCTTTAAATCTCTTTTACTTGTGATTGCCACAAGGTGTAACCTCCCACTCTGAGTCTGACACAGCATAGGTTGATCTGCCTTGTGTGAGGAGATGCTTCTAGTGTTGCTATTCTACCTGTGCATTGATCCCTGTCAATTTAGGGAATGAGTAAAATCATTTGTGATTGTCGATGAAAGCCGTTGGGTACCATCCTTAACATGCACTGCTCGTACAAGTATTGGGAGAAGTGTGTCAGAAGAAATGCTACGTAATTGTCAAAGGAAAGAATGTGAACAGGAGTAGTTCTGTAGATGAGGTGAAGTAGTTTTCCTAATTACCAGTGGAATGTGTGGAAGTGAATTATCGAAGAATTTTGTCTGGAACTGGATGTCAGAAAACTTGTTTTCCCAGATGTAGGATGGGGCGCATAGTGTTGCCTCACACTTTGTTAGAGTGCTTTAGGACCGTTACGAACTGGTTGATGGCAGCATTGTTCTTTGCCCTCTGTCCTTCCATCCCTTCAAGGAAGCCGAGCTGATCACGAAGTTCTTGCCTATGCTGATGTCCTTTGTGGTGGATGACCACACATTCAATGTAGATCAGAAGCTGCCCTCGGAGGAGAAGGGGCCAATTCCCTACCCCAGCACCATTCCTGAAGCTTTCACCAAGTACGTAACCAGCCTTATCACCTTTGTGCATACCGTCTTGTTACGGAAGGCAAACATCAAGGGCCCAGCCAACGCTGACAGGAAAACCAGTGTGTGGTAGAATGAAGACTTTCTTGGTAAGATTTATCCAGGTTATTCAATCCTGAACTTTAGCAGAACAGGTTTCCACCATGATTCCTCAAACAAAATTTATCTACAAGAAATAATATTGCTTGTAACGACCCTTCTTCTGGCAGATGGAATATGGAAGCATTTGGTATTAGTGCTTTCAGACAGGCTGCTTGTGTGGCTGCCCAGGCAGTGACCACTGTGTTTGAGCTGCAGCTGGACCAGTGCCCACGCTGTGCTCTGGAGAGTGCTGTTGTAAATCGTAAAGTGCGCGTTGTGTTACACAGACATGTGGTCTCTGTTGATAACCTCTTGCTTCAGGGATGTCAGAAAGATAATTGAAGCCTCTGAGTGCTCTGTTGTATTCAGATCTTGCACGAATTTCCAGTGCAACTCTTATCTCTGTGCTGGAATCTGGAATACAGCATCTCGGTAGTTGTACTCCGCTCTGACAGCATTGATAGCTGTCCTTTGGGAAACTAAAACAAAACAGTATTGGACTTTGTATCATTTTGGGGTATTTGGCTTCTTCTAAAACAACACAAATGTTCACAATCAGTTGTGGGACAGCACAGGGTTTGCTGAATGCTAAATTTTTCTGGACTGTGGTAGTGAACACAGTGCTCATCATCTACTCAGTCACCGACTGGCTGCTGTTCAGTGGGTTTGAGGTTAGCCACTGCTGTAACTGCTTGATTCCTGTCCAACAGTATTTTAAATCCTCCCTTATTGACTAAGGAATTTTGCTTCTGCCACAACAGATTCCTGCAGGAGAACAGACTAGCTTGTGAGGTTGGGCTCTATTACGTCCTTCACATCACGAAACAGAGGAACAAGAATGCTTTCCTTCGGCTCCTGCCAGGACTAGGTAAGTTTGTGCCTGCTATTCTAAAGTGATTTGCCTTATGCCGGACACCCAGGGTGCAAGTAAACCTGGAGGGAAAGTGATTTCAGAGTCAAAGATGTAATGTTCTGCCTTGCAGAAGTCTGTGTTTTTGGCTGCAATTGGGATACTTTCCTGAAATTTAGAGATGGTGGCTGAGGTTTGGTAGTTCCTTAGATCAAAGCCTGTGTTAACAACGGGATTGGCTGAGAACTCTAGATCTTTTCGGAATGACTCTGAAAGATGAAAGAGCAGGTGGCTTAGTTCTGCTGCTGCTCACAGGAGTCACATGTGGCCAGAAATTCTTGGGACTTGGTTTGCTGTGGTGAAAAAACCTGTAACAAAACAGGACCGACCACAGCCTGAAATTCTTCCCTGGGATTACCTTCCTCACTGACTGCTCCGGGGTAAGTTGCATGAGAGCTCTGAAGCAGTCTTAGGAATTGCAGTTCCCAGTAATGGTGGGGGGTGTTCCCTTCCCACTCCCTCACCCCAGCTCTGGTGTTCTTTGGACCCGTTGGTGAACTGTCAGCTTGCACACATGGGTGAGTGTTCCACTGGTGATTTGTTTCTGCTCACCGCGGGGTCTGAGAAGCGTGAGGAGGTGGACGTGGCCATGAACAGAGGATGGAGGAGGACGGTAGCAGGGGACTTTGTCATTTTGGCAGGAGCAAGTTACTCCGTGACTTCAGCCTTGGTGGAAACATGGGCTTTCTACGTGTCCTTCTTACCTCTCTGCCTCTCCTCTTTTATGTCTGGAAGATCAAAGCTGCCTGCCTGGGCTACCTGAAATCTCACTGCAGGTTTTCAGCAGGCACATCTGCTGTGTAGTCAGGTTTTGGCACATCCCTGTCAGTCTCAGAGTCTTTCCTTTTCATGTTGCATAGTTGAGACGTTCAGTGACTTGGCCTTCAGTGATATTTTTCTGCATCTGCTTACTGGTAACCTCACGTTGCTGGGTGATGAATATGCGCTCGAGGAGTTCTGCCCCAGCCTCTTTGATGGCTTCTTTCTCACTGCCTGCTCAAGGTAAATCTGATTTTCTTCGGGAGACATGAGTTTACAGGAGAGCTGAGAGAGGTTATGCTACTTTGAACTATAGCTTAATAGTTGAGCAAACTCTTCATGTGTAGTGGAAATACCAGACTGATGTTGAGGTGTTTTTAAGTAAAGGCTTATATTTTGTGATCAAGTTTTTATCAGCAGAATTGTTAAGTGTTGATTATAAATGATTACCTCAACTGCACTTCATTATTCATAAGTTGGAGTTGCAGAGGCAATGTCCTTCATGTTTTGCAGTAGTTGGGAATATGAAGAGTTAACTTTGGCTCTTTGCTTTATCAGCTGCACACAGAAAATTGGTTTGTGTCTGTTACTTCTGTCCAGTCGGGGTGGTTCAGCTGGTGCCTGCAGACCAGACCTAAGCTCCAGGAGACCTCCCCAAAAGCGATTAGAACAGCAGCTCAGGCACAGCAGCATGTGCTGCTGCTGCCACTTCCTCCACACATACAGCGGGACAAGCATCCTCCGGCATGGGCATGTGGCCTGTCCAACAGGGATGCCAGCTGCTGCCGGGTGCTGCAGCCGGTGCTTAAAATCTCCCCCCCTCATGGTTGCTACGGTTAGTCCACTCCAAATACATGAATTGCTTGAAAGTCTGAGGCAGGCTTGGCACTTTGTAGCACGCAGGCTGCGATTCTCAGGTGTTTCACTGAATTAGAACAAAGCTGCCAGTCAGTGGGTGCAGGAATTATCCTGGTACTGCTGCTGTAACTTTGTTGTTCTCAAGATGGTGTTTGTTTATGTCAGTTGCTCTGCTTTAAATGGCTTTTTGCAGAAAGGAGAATGTACACAGACATGTGCTAAGACTGCTGCTTCATCTGCATCACAAAGTGGCGCCTGCCAAATTAGAGTCTCTCCAGAAGGCTTTGGAACCCACGAAGCAGGTAAGAAGGGAACCTTGAGAAAGGGAAAATTAATTGCAAATGAAAGCATCTGCCTTTCCAGACATTGCTTAATGGGACATGGGCTCTGCTCTCCAAGTGTACCAAGTTGTGTCTTAATTACCTTGCAACTTCCTCTTTCCGTGTCGGTTTGTGTTAAAACACACAGGGTAATCGCATACTTCGTGTTCTCGCTAGTAGCAGCCAGAATGAAGTATGACTCTTCTGGTTTTCCCCTCCCTAATTCTCATTCTGCAGAGTGGGGAAGCTGTGAAGGAGCTTTATAACCAACTCACTGAGAAGCTGGAGCTTCGCAAGCCTAGTCCAGCCGAAGTGACCGAGACTCCCTCCATGGAACTGCCCTTGCCCACTGTGCCCACGCCAGCCTCGCGCTGAGCTCTGTCTGCCGTGCAAGAGGGAGACACAAGAACTAACCTAGCACTCTGCAGCGTGGAGGCACTGTACTGCCTTCAAGTGTCTGTGCCTCCAGGGTGCAAACAAAAAGAGCCACTGACGCTCTTTCAGGAACACTGCAGTTTACCCAGCTCACTGGCTCGTGCTGGTTAGAAAACTCGGTATGCAGAGCATTGCAAAGGTTTACTTTTCTTAAAGGTAGCTGAGTGTCTTCTTGTAGAGCCACTTAAAATCTGTCTGTATGTTTTTTTTTTCAAAAAGAAAATGCTTATTTTTAAGCTTGGCATCTTGTATTTTTGAACTCTACTTTAAGAACTGATAAATGACTGTGTGACTCCATTGTGGTTGAGCAGGTAGTGTGAACTCCTGAAAGCTAACCTTAGCTTTCTTCAGCTGTTAGCGTGCGCCTCTGGGTCTTTGGAGAAGACGCTCAACAGAAGCAAATGTCAGAGGAGATAAGCTCCACTGATACCATTTCCTGCTTGAAGTTCTAGTGCTTCTGGTATGTGGTAAGATGTGCTGTGTTAGTCAGAGATGTCCACCACTGTCACTAGACCAAGAAGCAGTGAGTGGCCATCTTCTTGGATAGACTCTTACAGCAAAGGCCCGAAATCCAATCATTCTCTCTCCTTTTCTCCTCCCAGAGGAGTAGCCTGAAATGAATCCTGGAGTCAGTGAAGAAAATCAACGACTAGCATGGTCCCAAATGACAGTAGGGTTTGAGCTTAGGTGGAGTGAAACTGTCTTTGAAAAGCAGCCTGCTCTTCATGGCTCATTTGTGTCGCTGTCTGTACTTCTGCTGTTAATTCCTGTTCTGCTTCTATTGCTCCCCTCAGGTAGAGTGTGCAGGAAGATGGGCACAGGAGAATGTGTGAGTTTACAGCTGATTTTTACCCTAATTTCCTCAGGTGCTATATGCCTGAAAAGAATCTTGCCAGTCCTCTGTAAGCAGGAAGCTGCCTACATGAATTATTCCGAATTGCAGTCTGATTCAGGAAGGTGCCTCTGAGGGTCTCAGTCCACCCCCTGACTCAGGGCAGGACCAGCTGGAGTGAGGTTGCTCAGGAGGAGGGCTTTGTATTTCCTTGTGTTGGGTTCCTGAGGGTTCTGTTGGCTGTTTCCAGCCTCCTGAGGGAGGCAGGTCTCTTGGAACAGCAGCTCTGCGCAGTGTGTCAGCCATGCCCACAACCTGGTCTCATTTGCAGACTTGCTGAGGGCTTGTTCTGTCTTCAGGCTGTAAATAGAGGCATTGAATGATACTAACCCCATTAATGACCCCTGAGCAATGCCATGAGTAACAGGCTGCCAGTTGGACTTTGTGCTGTTCATCACAACCCTCTGAGCCTGGTGTCCTGCCCGTTTTCCGTGCAGCTATCTGAACTGTATCGTAATGACTTGGCCATATGGATTCTTCAGGCAGTTGTGCCAAAAGCTATTCAAGGTCAGGGTAAGCTGCCCACTGCACTCCCCCAGCTGACTAAGCCAGGCATCTTTGGAGAAGGTTATTGGGTTTGTCAGGCACAATTACCCATTGGCATTTGCCCATCCGTGCTGGCCCTGCCCTCTGACTTGTCCATCATGCTTCTGGGTATTTTTTTCCCCATCACCCCTTGTTTCCTGGGACTTGAGCATTCCCAGTGCCAAGTCACACTGATGAGACTTTTCCATTTCCTGAAGCTGTGTCCAAAAGAAAGAAACAGATGCTTGTAAAGTAGAGGTGGAAATCCCTCCCCAGAGCTGATGACTCCCTCTTTGCAGGGTTTTCTTCCTCCCGAGTTCTCGGGAGCTGCATGAGGAGATTGGGTATCACCTTGGTGCTTTACTTCTCCTTTTATGCAGGGCCTTGTCTGGATCTGGTGGGAGATTTGGGTATGAGACCAGGGCGCTGTGCTCTGGTCCACACTGCCTTTTTGCCCCTCCATGCCAGGGTCTGGAGTGCTTTTGGCAGGCTCTCGGCACGTCTGGCATTGGACTTGTTGGAAACAGGAACTGGGTGTGTCAATTGGGTCTTTTTTTCTTGCAAAGTTTTGTTTCTAAACTGTTTAAACTGTCATAGTAACACCCCACGCTGCTGGCGAACCTTTCGCAATGAACCTGCTCAGGCCCATCCTCTGCTCGCTCGGGGTTATTGTAGCTTTGTCTTGGGGACCCTCTGTCACTTAAGGTTCCCCTCGCACCGTGTGCTGACCTGGTACCCTCCTGCAGCGCCAACTTCTAATCTAGGCTGACTCCGTGATTTACTGCTTGGGAGAAAAACCTCTTGTGTTTCAGCCTGTACCTGCAGTATTGAGATACGTGCTGGTGATGTTTTCCAGGTTTTTAGATCCACAGAGGAACTGAATCGCAGAGCACAAACTGGCCGTTGCTGTGCGGGTGGCTGCTTTCGGCTGCGGAGGGGAGACCTGGGCAGCCGAGCGTGGAGGTGGCTGCCAGCCCCGATTCTCCTGGCCTGCCTTCTGCGGAAAGGTGTGACGAGAGGAGCGACGCTTTGCAGAAAACGCTGTTTTAGCAGTGAACATCTCGGTCTGGTTCTGTTCTTTGAGGCGAGGATGTTTCCACTCTGGTGCCAGAAACCGCACAGACTCCTGCTGCCGCTGCAGCTGTGTGTGCTGTCCCGGGGTTCTGCTCTGGGGTTCCTGCTTGGAGGAGCTCACTCTTCCACTCCTCCAGACGCTGGTGCCACATGGCACAACGGCCAGGTGTGGTACGGGCTGCCTGACAGCGGTCTTTTGGTTAATCTGTTTTTACAGCGCCCTGTGCGAACGCGGCGCAGCGTGCGCTGCTGAGGGTGCACACTAGAGGGTACTGCACCCCCGGCTGCCCTGCCCGAAACACGCTCTGCTTGACGTCCTTCCCTGTTTGGCGTGGCACAGGGAGCTGGAAGCGCTCCCTGTTTGCACTTCTGTCACAGTTTGTCTTTACAACAGGGTTGTGATACCTGTGATACCAAAAAAATGGCCGTTCCCTCCAAACCTGCCGTGCCTGCGCGGGGAGTGAGTTTTTACAATGAATTCTAATTAGCCGGAGCAATCTGGTCTTCTCTGTGTGCTTTTCCTGAGACATCAGAGTAACTCACAGCCCAGGGAGGCTCTGCAGGCTTTTGGGATGGTTAACATTGAACTGAAATTCTGCAGTGAGCTGTGAAGCAGTTTGGATCGAGCCACGTTAGAAGATGGCCAGGGCACTGTGACTGCAGTAGGTGACAGGAGTAGCCAGTTACTGAGACCTGTGCTAGCAGAGGAACCAGATCTCTTACAAAATTAGTGGAAAATATTGCTGAAATACCATTTACTCCCAAACCAGCTGACCCCTGAAGCATGCCTAGCACGGTTTCAAAATACAGCCAGATTCCGCCTGACATCCTGACTTCCTGTAGGGTAGTTCTTTGTGAACCAAAGGACACCAAACCAATATCCCTGGCCATAATGGATACAAAGAGCCCTCAACACCCTGAGTCCTCTCTATTTTGCCAAGAACCAAGGGTTTTAGGTGATTCCTGGCCTCCTTTCTGCACAGCGGTGTGAAGGAGACCTGCTCGGTGATAAATGAGTTGGTTAACGTGCACGTGCAGTGCCCGTTCAGACCGCAAAAAGTGGGTGGGTCCGTCCATCCTGGCCTGGGATCTGCTCTGTTGGGAGTGTGGTACTGGAGACCGTCAGTCCCCAGGGGAAGGGGGTAAGTTGGGCTGAAATTCCAGTGCTGGGATGTTGGGGATTTATTGACTCTCCTGTGAGCACATTGAGAAAGGAAACGGCTGAAATCAGAGGAAATAATTTTACCCAATTTCTGAGCATTTAACTGCAATCCAGAGCAGTGGAATTTCTTAACAGGGCAAAGAAGGGTGTCGGTCCAACCTCAGAAATGGCTGCAGCTTAGGCAGTGAGTCAGAAGAGAGACCAGGTACGAGGGAAACCTCAGAGGTTTCCCCCCGAAACCAGAAGATTCCGGCAGCGAGTGCAGCGTGAGGCGGCAGCACACAGGATACATTCTGCCCAGATCCCTTTGATCGCTGTGCTGAGCTGAAGGTGCTGTAAGGTCTCCCCGGAGCCTTCCCTTCTCCAGGCTGAACACCCCCAACTCTCCCAGTCTGTCCCCAGGGCAGAGGGGCTCCAGCCCTCGGAGCACCTCCATGGCCTCCTCTGGACTTGCTCCAACTACTACTCCCTTGCTAGTTAGTTGCCTGATTTCCCACTGAGATCCACCCAATTTGGCATTTAAACCTTGACCTTTTGACAAGGGACCATGTGTGTCCACCCAGTCGGTGCCTTCAGAAGTCTCAAAGGTTGAGACATTTTATCCCTCACTCCTTTGCTCTGAAGCCGTGGGAAAACAAGGAAACTGGGGAGCTTGGCAGGAAGAGTACAGCTACTGTTACGTGGCCAGCAGGTTGAGGGATGGGATTCTCCCCCTCTGCTGTGCTCTGGTGAGACCCCACCTGGAGTGCTGCGTCCAGCTGTGGAGCCCTCAGCATCAGAAGGGGATTGACCACTTGGAGGGAGTCCAGAGGAGGCCACGAAGATGCTCAGAGGGCTGGAGCCCCTCTGCCATGGGGACAGGCTGAGAGAGTTGGGCTTGTTCAGCTTGGAGAAGGGAAGGCTCCGGGGAGACCTTATAGCACCTTCCAGTACCTGAAGGGGCTACCAGGAAGCTGGGGGGGACTTTTTACAAGGGGCTGTAGTGACAGGACAAGGGGTAACGGGTTTAAATTGAAAGTGGGGAGATTTAGATTGGACATCAGGGAAAAATTCTTCCCAGAGAGGGTGGGGAGGCACTGGAACAGGTTGCCCAGAGAAGCTGTGGATGCCCCATCCCTGGAAGTGTCCAAGGCCAAGCTGGATGAGGCTTGGAGCACCCTGGTCTAGTGGAAGGTGTCCCTGCCCATGGCAGGGGGGTTGGAACTGGATGATCTTTCAGGTCCCTTCCAACCCAAACCATTCTACAATTCTAGGATAGTAAGAGGTGGGGACACAGCACTTGGAAGGCATTGTCTTGTGTCCACACGGGTCTGAATGCTCGAAAGCAGCTGCTTGTTGGCAGAACACCCCATTCTCGGTAGTGCTGTGGGCAGTGGATCCATTGGAAAAGGGGTCGGGAACAATGGGTTGTGATGCAGATGGCTGGGGGGAAGATGGCCGTTTGAAAGGAGTGTCTAACAGAGCCTGGAGCAGACGCTGCACAGCAGAAAACTGAATTATCACTCTCTGAGCTATTTTTCTGGTGGAGCTGCTGTTTGGTTCAGGCTTTATGGTCACCTTTAGGTTAATTCTGATGAGCTGTG